ACAGCTCCTGGTTCTGCATGCACAGGCTACAGACATAAATCAAAGAGTAATCTTCCAGTGTCGACTGTGTGGGACTGGCCACCTGTCACGCTTCAATGTTCTCAGCCACAGTTTCACACATGGGTAGTAATTACGGTTAGTGGTGTCATCTGAGAGTTATAATGGTGTCTTAGGCCAGGTTTTCTGGAGGAGCAAAACCAGTAAGATGTATACACACACACACATTTCTTCAGATAGATAGATATAGTGTTATTTCAAAGAAGTTGCTCACACAGTTGTTGAGGCTGGCTAGTCCCAAACCCATAAGTCAGATGTCAGGCTGGAGGCTTTCTCTGACTCACATGGTTGCAGAGGATGACAAACCCACAATCAACAGATTGGATGATAGCCTGCTGGCTTATCTCCCATGAAGGAAACCAAAAGTTAGATTCTGATAGCTGGATGCAGGTAAGAGAGAAGGCATGTTACCAGAATATCCATCTATTTTGAATGTAGGTCACACCCCCAAAGAAATTCCCCTTTCAACTTGTTTGTTCTGTGTTCACCATGGATCACAGAATGGAGGATGATCACAGAATATCTATCAAACCACGAAGTATCATGATCCAGCCAAATGGGCATATAACCTTAGCCATCAGATGACAAAAGTAGAATTTATTGATGAGCCAAATAGAGAAGATTATACACATTCCATGTCTATATTACACACATACACTTAGCTTGTCATTTAGATCTACTCCCAGAACCATAGAGAATCAATTAAATTTTTTTCCTTTTGAGGTGTTCCTTCTCAGGATTTACATAAACATGCCTGGTTTCAGTGTATGTCCAGCATCTGTTTTTATAAAAGTATTACAGTTTTCTATTGTTGTGAAAAAAAGAAGGCAAAGAGATTTTGCCGAACTAGTTCCTGAAAATAAATTCATGTTCACAGTATCACATTAGAAGGATGGTTTCAAATTCTGAATAATGTTATCCTGGCAGCAATTGGGAGCCAGGGAAGTAACAGCCCCTGGGAAAGATTCTGTAGCATTTCAAATGGGAAGTCAGAAACAGGGTCTGTCACGGCCTCACTGCCCACAGTGTTCAGAACCAGGTGAAGGCTGGGCCAGGACAGCGTGTCTCACCCTGGTGAATATGGCCTTCCAAGACTGGATGGCGGGCTTTGTAACTGAAATTCCATTGACTCTGGATGGATCTGACAGCAAGTTTATAGTGTCAGACCTCCCAACAAAAGATTCCTTTGTGCTGTTTTCTTATGGAGATGCTTAAAAGGGGATTGAAATAGATCCCCACCCCATCCCCCATGAGGCTAAGAAGCACAAAGGATATATTTATACCTTCTAGTTTATTTATTTTCAACTGTTATCTCCTTTTAAAACATGTTATTGCCCCCAATAGGAAGTGTCATTGACTGTTGGCATTGGTCTCATGTTTTTCAAGACCATGGACAGAATGGACCTAACACATTCTTTCACTAACTGTCCATCCATTTTCATTATGTGTTATTTATTTATTGTATAAAGTTCTATGCCATCAATTCATGAAATAATCCTGGCACTTGCATTATTCATCAAGACTTCTGATATAATGAATGCATCTAAAAACAGTCAGGTAATTATATGTGTTAATATATTTTTAAAAACTAAACAATAGACACAGAAGCCAATACATTGTTATTGCCATAGTATTAATCCAGCCTTGACAAAAGTATAAATCCCATAATTAGTTTACAATTGTTTTTCAGTACGGCCTTTTCTCAGTAAATACATAAAAATGATTTCAAAGAGGAACTATTTTCTAACGTCTCATGAAACCATATCTTATTATGGAAAAGCAGCAGGAGGCCAGATTAACTTTATGAAATATTCCTCCCATTTGGATAAAACTGTAGGACACGCTCTACTGTCCTATTTCTAACTCATGTTATTCTCAGGAAAGGGAATCTTTCTGAGAACTCTTCAGTCCCCTTTGCTGAATAAGTGCACAAACACATGCAGTGTTACATTTTTGGAAGGATAGTGGTGGCACTTCAAGTGGTATGGAGTCCCCGCCTTCAGTGGTATTGGGAATGCAATGTGGTTAGCTGGCAGTGTTATCCCTTCTGCTTGGGGCTAGGTTATTTTGCCTTGATTTTGTTCCATTTGCATGTTTTCCCTTAGCACACATTTGCCATTTGCTTAGCAATTTGAAGGTCTAATTTTGGTTTTAGCATCTCGAAAAACAAAAACAACCCAAACCAGACCCATTGCTCGAGAGTTGATTGAGACTCCGGGAGATCCCACTGAGCACAGAGTAGCTCCATGGGGGGTTTTGGCTGTGACCTTTGATGGCTGCAGATCACTGGGTCTGTATTCTGTTGTGCTACTGTAGGGGTTCACGACATTTTTAATACTTCAAACTTATATCCTTGTCAATGAGGGTGTCGCGCGATGGAGACCCAATGCCCATCTCTAGACAACTGGACATACCTTGCAGAGGGGGAGTGGGGAGATGAGTTACTTAGGGTACAGTATAGCAATAATGAAACTCACAACCTTCCTCTAGTTCTTGAACGCTTCCTCCCCCCAACTACCAGGACCCCAGTTTCGCCTTGCAGACCTGGTTATACACAGCGGTGCGGATGGGAGTTGGAAGCGCAGGGAATCTAGGACGGAGGAGCCTCTCGGCACTGGGGGGCGACGGTGGCGATACCAGGAGGGAAGGGGGAGGTAGTAAGGGGGAATGGATCACAGGGAGCCGCGTATGGCCTCCTCTCTGGGGGACGGGCACAGCGGGGTGGGTGAGGGGAGGCGCCGGACAGTGTAATGTAAGATACAAAAATAATTTATAAATTGTTAAGGATGCATGGGGGAAAGGGGAGGAGGAAGGGAAGGTGGTGGGGAAGGAAAATGAGCGGATTCCGGGAACCCAAGAGGCAAGAGAATTTTGGGAATGATGAGGGCAACAAATGTATAGATGTGCTTTACACAATTGATCTATGTATTGTGATAAATTGTATGAGCCCCAATAAATTGATTAATTAAAAAAAATTAAAAAAAGAATTCTGTGGGTGTTACATCCTTTTACTCAGAATTAAAGTTAGATCTGAGAGACATGCCCCTCTGAGACAAATCTTTGCTGATCCTTAGGTGTTACACCACAATGATGAGAGTCAGGAATTCTCATAGGAGAGTCGCAATCATGCTATGGCTAACTTCACCTATTGACAGTCTCCCAAGGGATCATTTCAAACCTAGGCATTCAGGGTACAGAACTCACGGTTGGCTCTTTGGTGGAATTGTAAATAGCATCCAACTGTGGAATAACATAATGTGAATTTTTATAGGCTCATCTCATGCTACATCCAGATTGCTCTCTGGGCACTTGAGATAAATCTTCTCTCACTCTCTGGAATCGTTCAACACACAGGTTAATTTCTTACTATTGATTTTCTCCACTATGCATCTTGAATACTTCAAAATCTCTTGACCTACACAAAATATCTCTGTGACTGTCTGTTTTAAAATAATAACTCTTCAAAAAATGCTTGACATAGCAGTAAACATAACTAAATGGCTCTTCCCCAACTCTTTAAGGGCAGTTTAACTGGACGTTTTGATTAGATTTCAAGGAGAACATTTCAAGAAGCTTCATGTATTAAGGTTTCTAAAAGAGAATTGTATTTCTTGTAGGCATCACCAGGGAGGTAGAATATAAATCACAGCTAAAATCAGAACCACCCAGCTAACAGAGAGGCAACACAGCAGAGGAGACAAAGCATTGGACTTATTTGCCCTTCTTCAAGTTAGCCCTGCCTTCTCTGGGCTTTATGTATGCATCTAAAAACCAAGGGATTGTATTCCAGTTATTAAATTTAATGCGTCTATATCTCAAACGAGAGACCTTTTTATTAGTAGGAAAATCAAGTTTTTGAATAAAGATCACAAGCAAAGAAAAAACTGTTTTCTACTTGAAAAATTTTGAGAAATGCATAATGAACGATTCATTCCTCTAGAGACTAACCTTGATACCTGTATATTCCTCCCCCAACCCCATGATTATTAAAAAGTAAAAAAAAAAAATCTGCAAGGATTAAATGTTCCATTTATTATTCTAATAATTTCTTTCTTCACCCTTGAAATATTGTCCCAGTAACAGAAAGTGGTGTCTGAAGCACTTTATTTAATGGAAATTCCTTCTCTGTGCTTCCAAATAAAGCAGAAACAATATCATCAACATCAGTAATATAAAACAAACAAACAAACAAAAAACCCAACCAACCAGTCAATAAAATCACTTCCAAGTCCCCAAAACTAGTAAAACAGAATTGAAGTGGACCAAGCCATTTCCCATACCACTTGGAGTGTAGATTTATTTGGGTTTAAGAATGTCCTGAACAAATTACATCGACTACACTCCATTTCCTTCCTCAATAAAATTTATGACCGGACAAACATTAAACTTTTAAAAATTTAAAAATAATAGAAAAGTAAAAATATATTTTCTAGAGAAATCCTCCTCCTAAGCATTATATGGTTTGTTGCTTCTGTGAAATCTTTCTCTTTGGAGTAACTTGGTAGCATAGTTATTAGTATTATTATTTCTAATTAATTTAATGGGATTCATACAAGGACACTGAATCAGAACTTTAGCTGATTTATGGAGCATGAACTTTATGAGCAATAGGATACCTCTGTTCTAAAGCAACCCTCCCCCAAATGCGAAACACAAATAAAATAATGGGAACACTGAAATTCCATTTCATTATGTAATTTAAGTCTTACATTTTAAGTCTTTAGAGATTGCCCCCATGTTGAAAAGTAAAAGAACACCGGATGGTATGAGCACTCTAAAATCTGCAGCACTTTTAAGGGTTAAACCTGCTTAACCCATTCGTAGTCAGAGAATGGCACCAAAGCGAACAGCTCCCCACTTGAGTCTAGTTCTAAACCTGGGGTATCCTTAGGCTGTCAAAGCAGTCATGCACTCTATTCCACACCCCCCTCCCACCCAATTAATAGGATCCATTCATAGCTACTCACTACTGCAGGATTTGACCTGAGAAATGCTAGGATTTGTTAACTCTCAGCAGTTGTCTTGAAAAGTCCCTAAGTAATCTTTGCCCTTGGCCAGCAAGGGAACTGCTGGTCTCGAGTTCCCAGAAGCAGCTGGTGAGGTTCTCAGCCAAGTTCTTCAGAGGCAGGGAGTTCTTCAGGACAACCCACTTACACATGGCCTTTGCCCATCTTTAACCCAGGCTTCCTGGATCCAGGAAATGTTACTCCTGACTCCTTCGACCCAGAGGCTGGCCAACATTAGTTTGTCATCTGTAGATAATTGCTCTTTCTTTCTCCCATCACTCTTTCTAGGAGCTGGCATGGTGGTTAAAGTTTTCTAAAACAGTCATATTAATATGTTCAAAAATCCACTGCTGAGTCTCAGAGAGAGGGTCACATCTGGCCATGAACATTTTCTTCTCTGCGGGATTGCAATCCATGCAGCTGTTGCTCACTGGATGAAATAATGTTCTGTCCTGCAGGGATCAGAAAGGAGAGACAGGCATCATGCATGGGGAATGGCGAGAACCCAAAATACACAGAGGAAGTAAAAGATCCCTGTTTATCTTTCAGAATATACTCACGGTGTTAAAAATGGACTGGCTCCCAAATCAAACAATAGTGGGGAGAGTTGCCAACAAGACCCACTGTCAGGACGACAGGCCTCCAAGCAATTTCAGTTGGAGACAAAAGTACTCGCCCATTCATTTATTTTTTTTAAAAGCAACCTATTGTTTGGTACTATGTAGTAAACATTTCAGGAGGTGCTGGGATTTTAAAGATAATGGGTGTATGGGGTTGTTGAACAAGTTGGCAAAGTAGTTAGCTATTTATTTGCATGCATACCAACCCCCCCCCAATAAAATAACAACCAAAAAACCCCCCCAATACCCCCTGAAACCCTGTAACTTAGTCCATAATAAATAGCAACAACCACATACACACCACATCAAAAGAGTGATATTTTCCCCTATCCTCATTTTGAGCTTCAAAGGGGAACGAAAAATGCAAATCAGATAGGAACCAAATCCTATGTTATGTTAAGGGTTCATCTGTCTTGCTGTGGTGAATACAGGGGTGTGAGCAAGTAATACACAGGCAGTAAATACCTGAATGAACAGATTCAAACGTGTTAGCTCTGGAGAATCCATCTCTTTCAACCCTTTACCCCATTATAAGTCTACCAGAGGTGCAGTTTTCATTGTTTTCTATAGAATGGAGAAGGAAGTATTCCATGATGATGCTTTCAAATGAGCCCCTTGATTTTGTTCGTTGTACTCCAGTTGATTTGAACCCCTGGTGCCCCGCTGTGTGCCCAGAAGAACGTAAGGGTTTCGAGTTGGCTACCTTTTGGAAGCCGACCACCAGGTATATGATAAAGATAAAGCCCTTTGACTGAAAGGTGCTACCAGGATCCAAAGTTTAAGGAATAAGCAATCTCGTTATCTGAACACACTCTATTAACACATGTTCTATGTTACCATGCAAGTAGGTAAAATGAATTTAACACGAGGAAGAAAAGGCCTTTCCTTACCTAGTAATAAACTATTGTCTCTTATAATGCCTAAACTTAAAAAAAAAGTGTTTTCCACGGTACTGTAGGATTTCCAGAACTTTTAATAATGTTTTTACCATAATATATGAAAACTTCCCCCAATTCCTGATTACAATTTAGACTCATGTAATGTTTTATTATTTAGCTTTGAAAATGCTTACAGGTTCTGATTATTTTCTTTAGCTGAAGACTACTGAACTCACAATGCTAGTAGATTGAAGAAGTTTTTAGGCACTCCAGGCAAACATTTTGGGGTTTTTCTGGTTTTTAAGACTCTATCAACCCATAGTTATTTAATGCCCTTTTTTAGGTCTGGATGTTGGCGAGGTGGGACCTGTCAGAGGAAAGAAGAAACAGGAAGGAGGAAGGCAGCCTGCCCACAATTTCCTTTTCCTCTTTCTAGTTCCAGTGTCACAGAGACCGGTGACAATCCTGGGTTACTAGTTGTGCTGCTTACCACAAGGTAAGCTGTTTGAACCCACCAGCTACAGGATGGTAGCGAGAGGAGGCTTTCTGCTCCTGTAAAGACTTACAGCCTCGGAAGCCCAAAGGGCTAGCTCATCCAGTCCTACAGGGTCCTTATGAGTTGGGATCAACTTGATGGCAGTGAGCTTGGCTTTTGTCTGTTTGTTCGCCTCATACAGAGTCTCACTATTCTCCCTTGAAAGACAAGGCTTCCTAGGGTTATTGTGGTTCTGCTTTCTTTATGCAGGAAGCAGAACACATCCTAAGTCCTTTGGGTCTCCTTCCTAATTGCCAACTCATGACAACTCCATGGGGGTCAGAGGCAGGCTGGCTCCCAGGGATGTTGGGCCTAACCCCCTGGCTTCGCTCCCTCCACTGGGTGCTTGGCTCCAGGGAGGCCCTGCGGGACTCTCCTCTGCCCGAGTGAAGGGGGGCTGCAGTGAAAGCTGTTAGCAGGAAGGATCATGAGTTCTGCAGCTCAGCCCACATCGCCTTCCTCCTGGGATCCCTAGATGCCTGCTCTTCTCACAGCCGCCATGACTGTGAGCAGCTGTCTCCTTCAGTCTCTTCCGCTGTGCCTTTTCCACATCTTTTACCTTTCATATCTCCCCACCAACTTCCACTGGCTAGGCTCCCCAAACCAGTGGTGGTAATGTGATGGACCTCTTAGGTGTCACAGCCGGGCTGTGCGCCACAGGGATGTCAGTGGTCGGGACTTTTCAGAAGTCAGTCATCAGGGCCTTCTCCGGAGGTGACTCGGGGTGGCCTCAAACCTCCGGCCTGCAGCACCATCAACCATTTGCACCAGTCAGGAGCCCTGTTATATTCACAGAGACTTTAGATTTAGATTTGTTTCCCCAAAGGCATTCTTAAGCTGCCGTCAGCGTTCTCTGAGTCACGTTCCAGCGTCCACTGTTCGGTGTGCATCTCTTTCTCTCTCTCTCATTCCCAACTCTGCATCCCCTTCCTCCCCCCACCCCCAACCGAACACCGTTTAAGACTCGGGCCAAGAAAGGGAGAAGAGAAAACGTATAGAACACGCCTCCATCCTTTCTCTTGGCCAGCTGTTGTACTTTGGTAGGAATGCAAAAGCCACACCAGATTTTCTGAACATTTTTACTTTTCTGAACCAAGAGGGGATCACGTTTTTCCAAATGCCAAATTGAACACATGCTCTGACAAATGCAGGTCTCCTCCTGGGCACCGCCAAGCGGGCTATGCAAATTCAGCACGGTGCTGGGAAATTCATGGTATGCTTCCTGTAATTGTACTTTGTGTTGTCCTAAAAGTTGAGGAATTGATTTCCCTACACCTATCCATCTCGGCGAAGTTTCATCAGTAAAATAAGGCAGTGGGTTGGAGGCATCTCTAAGGCCTCTCGCAGCCCCAACATCGAGGGAACATTAATTTCAAAAGCCACTGGTGACAGAGACAAATGACAGGGTGTCAAACTAGCGACCATCAACAATGCTGAGTGAACTGACAGGTTGATTGTTTCCTGTTGCAGAAGGAGATCCGTTTACCCTTCTTTTCAGAGTAATCAGAAGGTCCTGGAGGTCAGGAGCGAATTAGCCAGTAAGCACATCTTGCGGCGGTACACTGTTTATTTACTAATCTGTAGTGGACATTTTCTTCAGCGTTTCACCACAGCGAACACAATTAAGCCTGTGTGTGCCTAGCTGATTGGGTAATCCGTCCCTACCATGTGACGTTTATGGAAGCACCTTCGGCTTTCACCAAAGCACACGGGTTTCACTGTTGACCTTGATGGCTGTACAACCATCTTTATGTTTCCACTCAGCCAACCTTTCCGATTATGAAATGCCCTTCCCGAGGCCTTTGGACTGGAACCAAGTCACTGGATCAAATAATCATTCTCTGAACACGTCGCTTGTTCAATGACACCCTGGACCCCTCTGCCCTTCAACTTCACTGTTCCTGTGACAGCCCAAGTGCAGGGCTTTCTTTGGAACAGATTTTGAAGCGCTTTGGCACGTTTGCTGCTCCATTATAATCCTCCTCAGAGGAAGGCATGCTTTATGCTCTGGCTGTTTCAAATGGAATGCAGCAAATTGGTTCTCTTTGTCTCCCCTTGTGAGTGTTTCTGCCCGCAGCCTCTTTTATTGTTAATATGCACAAGAAAATGAGAAAGGGTTGAGGAGGAAATGCAAACATTCATATCCGGGACTCAGGAACTGGCCTTCCTAATCAAATGAGATCGGGCCACACAATTCCAACGGGCAGTTCACGTAGTGAAAGGTGCGCACAGGTGGCTGAAGCTTTTTAGGTAGTCCACTGTAAGGGCCTCTGAACTGGGGTGGCTTCTGTGTGACACTCTGTGGCATTCCCGAGGTGTATGCGAGGTTTTATGAGGCTCTGCTGTTCTAAGGCAGTCAGAGTGCTGCTCGTGGATAATGTGCCCGGCTGCTAGCCAGAGGTTTGAGTCTGCCCAGAGGTGCCGTGAGAGAAAGGCCTGGACAGCCACTTCAAACTGTTTATAATGGCACACAGTTCTACTCGGGCACATATGTGGTTGCCAAGGGTTAGAGTTGATCATAACTGATTTATGATTAGGTAGGGTCAGTGTTTTATAAAAAGAGTAAAGTGTAGAAAATATTCCACACCTTATCCAGGGTAATCAGAGAGCCTAATAGCCAAAGAGTCAAAGGCAATAAAATAGGTAACTGAGCTCATAATGTCAAAGGAAATGGTTCTGTGCTTTAAAACTTGAACACAGGGTCACAGAGGCAGCACAGGTGTAAAAGGACAGACGTGAGTTTTGCGGCTACACAGGATTGGAATCCTATTCTAATCAAACCACTTTCTTGTGATGTGACCTTGGGCAAGTTGTTTAATCTCTGAAGCTCTGTTTACCCGTGGGTGAAACATAGATACACTTTGTTTGTGGTGAGGATAAGAGGAGCACATTTGTTTGCTGTGATAAGAGGAGTTGAGATCTGTAACATCCTTGGCACGGTGTGCATCAGTGAGTAAGAACAATCCCCTTTTCCCTTCCAGTGGGAGCAACCCCTAGGCCAGGAGCTGGAGCATGCTGGCCACCTGGTTGGAACCTCCCCAGCCGTCTTTTCTGAAACCCTGACCACATGGAATTTCTGGGAATCAGCCTCTGCCTCAACCAGTGAGCCAGTGATACGCCAAGACCTTATGTTGTATGCCAAAGCATTTATGGAACAAAAGCAAACTTGTGGCTCTGGGATTTGCTCTTCTATGTAATGATGGGCAGAGTATGTACCTCATCTATGTGTTTAAGCCTTTTGCCTGATACATAGTATTATTCATGTCAGTTGAATTCAACTAAGTGACTCTTTTTGTTCTTCCCGCTGCTGTATCGTAGGAGAGAAGTATACAAAGATGACTTCCTATGCATTGGTCTTCGATCCAAGAAGGTTTGGGAGACCATTAGGTAAGCAAGAAATGTTTGTAGTAGAAAGGGTC